GGAAACTTTACAGCGCCGTCCCCGGCCGCAAGTTCATCGCGGTGAAGGCGCACACCCCGCAGGGCGAGGGCGAGATCCCGCTGCACCGCGGCGAGGCCGTGAAGGGTGAGGGCCGGCGGGGGCGGGGCCGCGCGGCGTGAGGGGCGTACGGCCGCCGGTGCGCAGCCGAGGCCGGGGGGCCTCTCCCTCACTGGGGCATCTGCCCTGGGGGTCCCCTTGTGTCGTTGTGAAGGGCTCGGGGCAGGGAGGGGCGTCTGTCTCTGGAGCGCGCCTGTCCTGCGGGTCCCTCCTGGTACTCTCTCGTTTAGGCGTTCCTATGTCATGGTCGCAGTCCCTCTTGTCCTGGAGTGTTTCTGTGCCATGAGGGTGGTTGTGTCACTGGGGTCACTCTGTGTTTGGAGGACCCTCTTTGCATTCTGGGGTTCCTGTCAGTTCTGGGGTTTTCCAGTGGAAGTCCTGTGACATGGGGTGCCATGTGCCACTGTGAAGCCCCTCTCGTTGTGGGGTACATCTGTGACAGTGAGGGGGTGTCTGTTGCATGAGCTGTCCTGTTCTGAGGGTTCTAGGGGTTCTGAGCCATGACAGCTCCTGATGTGGGGGACTCTGCCGTTACTGGGGTCCTGTCTTCCGGGTTACCCTATGTCCATGGGAACTGAGGAAGCAGCAGAGTTATAGGATTGGGTCCTCCACGGTCCGTCATGTGGCCTAATCCTCTGGACACAGCATGATGACCTGAGCTCTTGGCAGTGACCCCTGGGGTGGGTGTCAGCGAGGATGGGGCTGCGCTCACGAGGTGGGTGGGGAATGGTCTGTGGGGTGGGACGGGAGCCGACTTTGGTCCCATCCTCCGTGTCCTCCTGTCTCCCTGAGTCTGTCCATCTGTGTCTTTCTGTCCCCCACATGCCCGTCCCTTGCCATGCCCATCTGTTCTCTCCTCTCCTCTGTGTTGGTCCCTAAGTCTTCCCAGGGAGAATCTAAGAAGATCTGGGAAGGGGGGAGAAGGAACGACAGGGAGAAAGGGTGAGGGGAGGGAGGGCACCTGAGCCTGGGGCTGGGGGAGGGGGGGCCCGGGCAGGGGGCCCTGGGCCTCCACGCCCTAACGGCCTGTCCGGCTCTGTCCCTCCAGTGCTCAGCATCGGGGAGGGCGGTTTCTGGGAGGGGACCGTGAAAGGCCGCACGGGCTGGTTCCCGGCTGACTGCGTGGAGGAGGTGCAGATGAGGCAGTATGACACGCGGCACGGTGAGTGACCCTCTGCGCACCGGCAGCTCCCGAGGGCACATCCCTTCCCAGGGCCCTTTGGTCTCGCTGGGAGCTAAGTCCACGTGGTGTCCACACTGGAGAGACTACAAGTAAATTCAAACACAGCCTCAAAGTACATGCAAACTCATGTATCCGACAGACACACGGGCGTGCACCTCTGCACACACTTATGAGCACATGTGCAGGTAACAGTTGCGTGTGCAGGAAACGTACATGTTGCACACAGTGAACACACGTGACGTGCCTGCAGAACACATGTGCGTGGATGCACACGTGTGCAGAAGGAGTCTGAATGATCATGCGCACAAGTCCCGTGGCCCTGAGCGGGCCCCACATGGTCCACACAGAAACTAGGGGCTTGGAGACGTGACTCCTTCCTGGCTGGAGGACAAGTAAAGGAGGTCACCGTGAGAAAAGAGGCATCTGTCCAAGGTGGACAGATTGTCCGAGTGGGCAGAGCAGGGAGGCCGGGACCAGCCAAGAGGAAATGAAGTCAGTTAGACCTGGAGGGCTGTCGTAGGTGCCCTGGGGCCAGGATAGGGTGAGAGGGGGCAGCAGATGAGGGACAGGAGGACGTGCAGGCGCAGGCCACAATGGGCTGCCCCTTGGGCTGGGAGAGGTCTTAGTCCAGCCCCTCAGGGTGTCTGTGGATCTCTTGAGGTTCCTGCTGGTAGAGGGTGAGGTTGATCCTTCTGAGTCCCCAGGCCAGATCCCGCTGTCTACATGGGGCCCAGCCCTGTAGTGGGTGTTCAGGGTCCTCACAGGTTGTCATTTTACCTGTGAGCTGGTGGGACAAGGGAACCCTGCCTGAGTGGTGGCCACCTACAGGCACGAGCCAGTGTGGGGCATGTGTGTATGTGTGTGCTGTGTGTCTGGAACATGTGTGTGTGCTGTCTGGAGTGTGTGAATGTGGTGTGTCTGGAGCATATGCGTGTGATGTGGGGTGTCTGGAGCATGTGCATGTGTCCAGTGTGTGTTTGGAGTGTGTGAGTGGAGTGTGCAACATGTACGTGTTGTGTGTCTGGAGTGTGTGCGTGTGGCATGGTGTGTCTGGACATGTGCACATGTGTGGCATGTGTCTGGAGTGTGTGCATGTGCGTGAGTGTGGAGTGCCTGGAACGTGCACGTGGTATCTGGAATGTGTGCATGTGGTGTGTCTGGAGCGTGTTGCATGTGGTGTGTCTGGACATGTGCGTGTGGTGTGGGATGTCTGGATGTGTGCATGTGTGTGGTATGTGTTTGGAGTGTGTGTGAGTGGAGTGTCTGCAATACG